CAATTTCATATGGTTCTATGCCCCATGCTTCTGTTTCACCTTCTTTCAATAGCTTAGATACCACAGAGCAGGTATCCGGACCAACATGCAAAACTTTGTTCATACTGTCGCCATATGCTTTCTTTAAGATGGGTACTGCTTTCAGCAACTCCAATGTGCATGAAAAATCACCTGTAGGTTCAATTTTGACAGTAAATGCTCATAGATGCAATCAAATCTTATAGAAGCATCATCAGGATCAACTATCAAATCATTACATTTTACAAGTTGCTGTAACTAAAATTGATCGAGATCATCAAACCACCGTAGAAGTTCTTCAATATTACAGGCTTTACCATGCAAGTTCGTTAAAAATAACCCATCAAGAACAAACAAAAGAAACACAAATGTGATATCATTTGTCCCCAGTGAATCAAGATACGGAGGAAAACAAACAGTATAAAATTGCAACCCCCAGGGGTTGTTGGGAGGAAAGATAGTAGACTTTGGAAATTGGGCTCCTCGGGTCATTTCCCAGGCAAAGAATTCACACCTTAATCTTTGATCCCAAGGGACTTATCAACGGCTTATGGAAGATAAAATGTCTAGAAAGAGTAAATGTCTCAACAAGGATTCTTCTTTTGGGAGGCTCAGACATGGCAGATAAAGTACAAAGAAAGTGTCAAAGCTACTGTTATGTTTTAATTGTTGAGTGCTCTGTTTACAAGCAATGAAGGATGAAGTTGTTTTTTCTTTCATTTTTCATGTAGTGCAAAATGATGGGGGCAGTATTTCATCTTCGATCTTACCCAAAGGAAAATATCTATCAGTTGCTCAGTAATCGTAGATTCAAAAACGAAGGATTGTGATGTGAAAGAAAGCAAAGAATGCTCAAAGGGGCAAATATTGCATGAAAATGTGATAAAGAGGGAGAGACGCCTGATCCCTAAATGTCAAGGAGGTTACAAAGGAAAACTTAATGTACCTTCAATCTTGCTGACTATCTTGTTGCCTCCAAATGAACCTGCATTGATAAATAGTTGTTCAATGAATGAGACAATAATCCCCATTGTTCATTTCCTCGACTATAATCAAAGTCTACACCCGAAACTACTTGGAAACATATCATGAATTGAGAAGTCTAGAAATTGTAAATCAAATACAAACCTGGTCCACTAAATGCATAGACAAGTAGAAGAACTGCTCCCTGTGAGAACCCACAAAAAAAATCAAAATTGGAATACCAATGGATTATGTTTTACTGAGTGGTAACGTTACTCTGGAAATCACGGATTATCATCCAACCACCGCAATAATATATAGAAAACGATAAGAAATATAAAATAAATCAGGAAAGAAAACTGATTCTTAATCATGAAAATTACCACAAGGACCAGGCAAATAGATAACAGGGGAGATGATTTTGATTTCGCATTTAGAGCCCCAGCAAATGGAAAGCTTCCATTGCGGCGCGTGGAAGTAGGTTGCCTCCTTTGCATGATTAATAGTTCAAAAGAATATGATTCTGCATTTGATGAAAACATAAACAACCGATAGTAAGATTGCATGTCCATTAAATAGACAATATGATTCCATGGAACCAAAATTCAGTTCAAAAAATCATTCTCCTGAAAGTAGCAACTTGTTACAGAAAGCCACCGACACTAGAATGAAACCCATGAGGGAATTTCCAGATACTAGATGCCTGTGGCCACTCATGTCTATTTATCCCCCACTTCCAGCACCCACCCATCAAAATCGAGTAAATCAAAAGGATGCAAATTTCAAGAGTAAACTTCCAAAACTAAATCAGCAAACAACACGAACTGCACAGCTCAATCTAATTTTCAAATCATCATCTATGGCCTCCATACAGAACACATATTTATAACCTATAATTTCAGAGATTTAAAACCCAGAAAATAAAATCCGAGAAAGTTAAAGAAACGAAGCAAATTTAGCCCACGATTGAAGGGGGGAAAAAACAAACACCATCCGATGCAAAACAATGCAATTTCATACTGGAAACTGAAAGAAGCACATAGATCGATGTAATGTAGCATTGTGGGTCGATGTGTTTCACCCCCAGTATCAAGAGATAAATACAAAGGCAGCAGAAACCTTTCAAGTTGTGAACAAGCTACAGAGATTGAGATAAAAGAATGGATAAAGGAAACAAACGCACAGGTAACAGAAACTTGATGGGATCTGGAAAAATCACCTTAGATCAGATAAGAGAAGAAGGAAAGCAGCAGCATTTAGTGTCTGAAAGTCCAGATCTTGGATCTGAAAATTAATTTTCCCCTTTTTTGGGTTTGGTTAGTTATTGTGCGTAGTTTCATCTAAGGAGAGGGAAAAGAGCGAGAGAGAGAAGAAATGGCAGTGGGAAAAAGAAAGGAAAGCGTTGTAATTTTAGCGGTTGATGTGATGGGATGCTTAGTAGTAAGAGAAAAGAGCATTGGCGGGACCCTTCAACGTGCACAGTGTCACGCGCTTTTGCAATAATTGAATTGACGGCATTTCTGTCAGCCGTACTCAGCCCATCCAAACCCACAAGGCCAAGCCTTGAGCTCATCTTTCCTGCCCTAGGCCTGGCCGACATCCTAAAGTTGCACATTGTTGCCTCTCAATATGAACGTCCACTTTCGTGGGTTCCGTGTTCATAGGCATACCGCTGAATGTCTGCTTTTGATGTCATTTGTAACCGTCTACTGCAAATAGATATTATTCATTTTGGTCTATTACGTATCATCGTCAACTTTACGATTTTAAAACGAATTTGTTAAGAAGAGATTTTCATACTTTTATAAAGAATGTTTCATTTTACTCTCCAACCGATATAGAATCTCACGGTAGCTTAATTCTCAATTAGTTTGATTTATAATCAAATTTGTTTTTGAAAATCCTATAACACAACCAAACTAGTTTTGCTAGAGAAAAGTCTTTTTCTCAAAAGTAATCTAAAAACTCACCTTAAAACCAAACACAATTGAAACAATCTTATAAGAAGTACAATCCTTAACTATACAAAAGAAACTAAATATGCCAACCAAATTAACTAACCATACAGAACCGAAGCAGGAACAAACATAGCATAGCACAGCACAGCACAGCACGTCTTCTTTTTCCTGTCCCGAGAATTTAAGTGCTTTGTAGCTAGCTTTTGAAGCTCCTCTTCTGAACCAACACCAACCAGTCAAGAAGAAGAAGCTAGTACTGAATATAGCTGATGCACTTGAGGATTTTTCAGTCGCATTGGAGTAGTCATCTTCTTGGTGTTGTTTTCTGGGTTGATGTATGGCCTCAGTCTTGTCCTCATGTCTATATATGAGTCTCAGTTCATGCAGTCTCATATTCAAATTTTCAGGAATGAAATGAACTGCAGCTTTGTCCCCAGTGGGTGGAAACAGAACAGAATCAGAGACCTGAAAATTGATTGCTTGATTTTGTTTTGACCAGCTATCGAACCTTTCACTGGGTAAAGAACATAAAGCTCTGTTCCGCAGAGCAGAACTGAAAACACTCCAAGACTTTGATGGCAATGAGGTACTTCGTCTCAAACACGAGCAACTCTCTCTCTCTCTCTCTCTCTCTGAGGAGGATAACACTTGAAAATGTGATTGAGGAGCTTTTGCAGGTATAGCATATCCCCTATCTACAGTTCTGCCTTCCTATCAATATTACGAAGTTTGATTACTCTTAATTTTTGTTCACTGCAAGAGGAAATCTATGATGACACAGATTATCGTAATTACAGATCATTTCCTAAAAGGCAACATAAAGGAACTTGAAGTGGTTGATATGAGACATCTGATTTAGTTATAGAAGGAACTGACAAAAGGAATGCTTGATTTCTTCTAGGAGAAGAGGTATCAAGTATTTTACTTTGGACATAATCACTTCAAGTATAACCCTGCAAATATTGGCGAACTTAAGGAAAGGCAAACTAGTCGTCTAAGTTGAAGGAAAGGTAACAGTTTTCTATCGAGAAAAATGCATACCTGAAGTTGATGATGTCTGGAACTTGAGGAGAAAGTGAATTTCTCACGTAGAGTGTAACAACCTAAACCTACCACTAACGAATACTATCTTTTTTAGACTTTTCCTTTCAAGTTTCTCCTTAAGGTTTTTAAAACACGTCTATTAGAGAGAGGTTTCTATATCTTTATAAGGAATGTGCCCTTCCCCTCTCCAACCGATGTGGGATCTCACATCGAACCATGTAGTAACACTATTTGTTGGATTAGATGGATATACCTATTTGAAATTGACCCAATAGCTTACTGCACCAAGCTGATACAGCGGAAGGTGAAAATATCATCTCCCTTATTTATAAGAAGAAACAATGAACATGCATACATTTGAAAACAAAATAACGAGGTTAAAATAGAGATAAGTCATATTAATGAATAAACACTGCAAAATCTCCAAGGACCCAGATTGAACCACAATCTTATATATTTCAGCTGTAATATCTGAATTCCTGTACATATTAATATTGACGCTTTACATCTGTCCGCCAGAGTAAACTGCCTTGTGTGTGATTTAGAATTTATGTTGTACAGAAACATTTGGGATCATATAGTTTGGCTAATTGAGTGTATCTTTGGCCTGAGAATGTAAAATCTTTCATTACTGGGATTCATTATGTTCTAGATGGATAAAGCAAAACTGCGTTGTAATTTGTTTCTATGAAAAAGATTTTTTTATCCTCTTAAGCCTCTGTGGTTACCTTTGGCTTTTGATTTTTTGGAATGAATGTTCATGACACCACCTATGGCCTATTTTCTTAATCTATCAGGAAATCCAGTTTTCTATCAGTGCAATAAACACAGTTACTACATAACAGATGGTTAAATGGATATCCGTCTTCCTTTTTTAACAAGATCTTCATTCTGAAAAATAAAGCATTTTGACTAACCTTCTCCTTGTGGCAAGTTTTAGACCACAAAGATCCCACGTGTAGTTTCCTCACTAATAGAATACACCTATAATTGATATCGGCTGCAATGAACTAAATCAGAAAGCCAAAGAACACTTCTCATCAATTCAGTAAAATGGTGGACGGAGGATTGTAGAAGCAGTAATGATGCACCAACCATTACAAATCAAATCTTTTACAGAAACCCCAAAATGAATCATTCTTCGAGACAAGGCTCTTAAATTACAGGGATTTAGTCTTTTTGTGCACTCCACCCCAGCGGCGTTTACGTGCTCTTCTTTTCCTTCCATCTACTTTGGCCTTGATTTTCTCTTTTAAATCTCTCTCCCCTCGCCTCTTATACATCTTGAAAGTGATGTTCCTATCTGCAGCCATCTTCCTCACCTTATCTGTGATCTCTACAGCTAGTTGTCTATTGTAAAGTTTCTTCAGTCCACGCATAAGCTTAGCAAAAGTATCCGGCTGTGGCATTAGGTCTGCATCCATCATGTCCAAGCAGTAAGAACAAGCCTCCTTCACATGCCCGTTCGAAAAAAGTGCGTGAATCCAAATTGTCCAAGCACTGACATTAAGTTCACCTCCTTTAGTAGTAATACAACTCCACATGTTTTTTGCCAATTCAAGCTTTTGATCTCTCAAAAGAGCATTTGTTAGTTCCTTCAAAGTACCATACTGTGGAGCAGATAATAGACCTCTTTCAACCATATCTTTGAAGTAATCACAAGCTTCAATTAGACAACCTTGACTAAGAAACCCATGAACCATCACAATATATGTGTCAAGACCTGGATTAAGCCCACCAGCTTCCATTTCACCCCAAAGTCGAACAGCTTCCTTGAGCTCCCCCAACTTGCATACTAACCTTATGACTGTATTATATATGTTAAGGTCTGGTAAGCAACCAATCTTCCTCATTTCTTCCATGAGTTCCATACACTCTTCCAGCTGTTCCTTCTTTTCATGCGCCATCATTATACACAAATAACTCAACTGACTAGGATCATGGCCTTTCTGAATCATATTATCCAATATCTCATATGCTCTGTCTGTGTTCCCACACTTGCAAAATCCACTTATCAGAGTTGTATAAGTCACAACGTCTGCCTCGCATCCCCTCCCTTGCATTTCGACCAAAATACGCATTGCCTCGTCCATCTTTTCCATCTTACAGAACGCCTGAATCAGAATTGTATAAGAAGCTGCATTTGGCCCGCAGTTCACTTTCTTCATTTGCTCCAACAGATCAAAAGCATCCCGCATTTTCCCTGCTTGAGCATACCCACCAAGTAAATTGTTATAAACCACAATGTCCGGCTCAAAACCAGCTTCCTTTATTTGGACCAATACATGCTTCGCCTCCAAAATCTTGCCTTCTCGGCACCAACCATACAACAATGATGTGAAATGTCTCAGAGTGGGATTAAACCGAATTCTCATATCTTCAAATAGCGAAGCTGCTTCTTTAACACTGCCATTTTTACACAAAGCATCAAGAAGACACCCAAATACGTACTCATCAGGTTCGCACCCATACTTGGGCATTTCATCAAGCACCTCAACTGCTTTCTTTACCATTCTGGCGGAAGCGAACCTCCTCATCAAAACAATGAACACTTCAGGCGTTAACATGTATGGATTCTCTTTTCTCATTTCCTCAATCAGCGCCCAAACGGCTCCGAACTGTCTCATCTTCCCCAAGGTTTTAATCATAGCTCTATACACTTCATAACTATGCCTGTAACCCGGTTGCTTCGAAGCCCAGACGAAAAACCGGTAACCCAAGTTTCCGGCATCGCCACACCGGCTTAAAACTCGTTCCGGAAGACCAGAGCGTAAAACGACACCGGATTCCTGCAGAGCAAGCTCGAGTTTCGGAACCCTGGTGTGGAATTTCCTTAGAATCCTGTACACCTTTTCGACGTCAGCGGAAAATTCGTCGGCGTCTCTATCATTGGTGGAGTCATGCGGAGTAGTTTTCAGGTGAATAGGCCCAAAACCTCCAGTCTCTGTTGTGCAATTGGGATTCGTGTGAGAACTTATTAGCGACAGAGAGAGAGACAAGTGCGGTTTTCTGAGAAAGAAGGTTAATGGGCTGTTCGATTTCGTGAGTAGTAATGCAGATGGTGGATTGTTGAAGAGAGAAATGGTTCTCCGGTAAAATCTGTGCATCTTTTTTTGTCGAGAGTAATTGGACTGAACGCCCTTACATGAACTATATGCCCTTGCGTTCACAATCTTCTTCTTCCTCCATCCTCATCCCTCCACCAAACCCTTACCTTGCCGCAAGCAGCAGTTTCTTTTTTCTTTATTAATATTTTTATGATTGAAATGGGTTGATTTCAGGTTTGATCGTTTTCTAGATCTAGGCAACGATATGTCACCGCTAAGCATTGGCAAGAAGCCGCCAGCGAGAGAATTGAAGAAGAGAACTGGTGCAACAAAGCAGCCGGAATGGAGCTCCATTACCGAACGGTTCCAAACTACAATGCTTCAACTACTCTATGAAGCTATTATGATCATACACATTGGGTTTGGATTAGACCTGATGCTTGTATTGTGATTCATCGCACACCCACTTATTTTGCTTCTTTGCCATTTTTAAATTGAGATTGGCTTAAAACATTGAAGTACCAAATGTAATTGAAAATCAGATGGACGTCGAGGATTAGCAGGTAGGAGGAAACCCTATTTAAAGCAAGTTCTGGTCACCCCAATCTTATAGGCCTTTATCGCAGGAGCTTTTTTAAGTCATGTTTTCTATGAGAGTGAAACAACAATTACAAGGCTGGAAAGCGATAATTTCACCTTACTTTTCAATCAAAATCATCACTATAACGAAATTTCTCAGGGAAAAATTGCCACAGTTACATCGAGTACATTCCTGCTAAACTATAATTTATCACTAGTTTTCAATACAAAATTGTGGATCTACTGGCTGTTGACCATCCAGGATCGACAAGTCAGACAGAATTTTTCTTCTTGCGTCTGTTTTGGTCATCATTTTTGCCTTCTCTATTCCCGCCACCACGGCGAGATCTCTTTGGAGCCTATTTTTAAACAAGTAGAAATGCAATTACCAACGAGCGGGTTAGTGGGCGACCAAATTGTTGAAATCAGACAAGAGTGCCATTAGTAGTAACTACCTACTCTGAGACTACCGTCAGATTGAAATAAGCAAAATCGTACCTCAGCCGAAAATGTTTTAAGAGGGTCTTTATCATTTCTAGATTTTCTTTTGAACCCACGTCGACGGCCAGACTGTGTATTTCCCATTGCTGCTCTAGCAAGTTTGATGATTTTGCTGGCTTCTTGAGTTACTGGGTCGACAAGATAGTCAGGAATGTCACGCAGGTGAGGAGCAGGGGGTTTCTTGCTAAGAATCTTATCATGTTTCAACAAATCTGCACAAGAAACTCCATTAAACTTAAGCAGCATAAATGGGTAAATGTTGGTACAAACAACTAAAAATTCAGTAAAGATGTTACCCAAGTCCCTCGGATTAGAATCAAAGTGAGCTTTCAGTCTGGATAGGAAACAGGAACGAGAATACATTATGAAGTTATTAAATGGACGTAAATATGGGCATAATAACACTCCTATATTAACAAATTAAATTGAATTATGCGCACAAAGTGAAAGACATGGACATGCTGGTTAGATGACTGTTTGCAACTTGGGTGGTGCAGTAATTGGCAAATAATTGTTTTCAAACCTAAAGCAAACAGAATAGTACAATTTTTCAGAAAATTTAGACAAGGGGAAATAGCTCACTTTTCAGAGTTAAGAATCTCGTTCCTCAAATCCAGAGCTCGAGATTCTCTAATAGCAATTTTTGTCACACTCTTCGAAACATCCTGCGAAGGCACACAGAACACATCAATAATGAAAGTTTAATATCTAAATGGCCACCCTTAAGAAATATTATATATGCATCACACAAACCTCAGCTCTATAACGTAAAGACTCTACTGCATTCTTAGTAAGTAATGGAAATGGTACAATAATGTCTGTATCCCCATCAGTTCTCAGGAAAGATTGTATTTCTCCAAAAATATCCATCTCATCTGGAGAAACCTATCACAATAGAGAGAGAGAAACAGAGTATTAATGAGATATCAACACCAACATTGGTTGCAGTTACATTTACCAAGCGCACATGCTGCACGTGATAAGGAGACAGCATAAGAGAATATATAATAAAATACACAAGCTGGGTAAAGGATGTAAAAGCACCCAAGGAGGTCAACAGAGAGGTTAGTTATAATTAACGGAGTCCAAAATTAAATATGTCAAAAGAACAAGAAAGAAACATAAGAATACACCACACCCTCAAAGAAAACCTCAAGTAAATAGTCACTATAACGCCGTGAAGTACAAACAGCATCTCAAAATACCAACCAATGAGATAGAAGCACCGGTATTATAAGCTCTTCCAGTACGTCCGATACGGTGTATGTATCCTGATGCACTTGGAGGCAACTCAAAATTTATAACCTGAACAGATAGCAGTTAAGTTACTGTTAAAAGCTTGCTTGATGGTTGAAGCCAGCCATCAAGAGACTCAAGATAATATCAGTTATCAGACAATGTGTAAATTGTGTAACATGATTATTGATAATTCACATAACACAAGGAATTATATACATGGGTCATACTAATTACACTACTTGTACAATGTACTACATACACATTAAGAGACCTAAAAGGAATATATTAATAGAACAAATCATAAACCTCCCTTCCTCCACCACGGATCAAAAGAGGAACAGAAAAACAAGGGATTCAGTTCATAAAAATTCTACCACATACAAAATACCGAGTAACTCTTTCTCGTCTCCAATTCGCTGATGATACAATCTTCTTTTGCTCTGGGAAGGAGGACATTTTTTAACTATGAATCACACCCTTACTTTCTTTGAGGCCATGTCAAGCCTTGAGAACAATATTAGTAAATGACAGATTTTGGACCTGAACAATGATCCCATTAAGATGAGAGAGTGAGCTAAGCCGGCAAGGTGGGTGTTCTTCCAACATCTAATCTAGGGCTTCCTCTTGGAAACAACCTGACGTAGATTTCTTTAAGGCCTCCTGGAAGAGAAACTTTTTTCTCAAAAGAGGGAGGCTTGCCCTAATCCGATCAGTTTTAAGTGGTATTCCCATTTATTTTTTCTCCCTCTTTAGAGCCCCATGTTCAATGTATAAGAGCTTGGAGAAGCATATGAGGGGCTGCATGTGGGAAGGTGTGGAGGAAAGCAAAGGAACACACTTAATGAAGTAACAGATCGTGGGAAAACTCATTCACCGGGGAGGGTTGGAATTAGGGAATTTAAAGGCACATAATAGGGCGTTATAATACGGGATTTTTCCCTTGGGTCCTCTTTCCTGTAGTCTAGGACTATCGTGAGCATGTATGATTCTCATCCTTTTGATTGGATGGTGGTGGGGTTAAAGGCACATTCACAAAATTGTGGAAAGAAATCTCTATCTCTCTCTCTTTTTCTTATATGATTCAGTGTGTGGTGGGCGATGGGCTTGGCATCTTTTTTGGGAGGATAGATGGTTGGGGGATCACCTTTTCATTTATCTGCTATGAATAATTGTTGTGTTTGATTGTTTGTTGCATTCAGGAAGCTTGCCCTCTCTTTCGTTTGGATTTTATCATCCTTCATTCGATAGGGAAATGACAGAGGTCAAGGCCCTACTTTCTTTACTAGGGGATCTCGAGACTGAAGAGGGGAGAAGGGATGTTAGTATTTGGAGTTCTAGCCCTTTTGATGGCTTTTGTTTCTGATCTTTCTTTCATTATTTGTTGGACCCCTCTCCTCTTAGGAATCTGTATTCTCGATTCTTTGGAAGATGAAAATCTCAAAAAAAGTTTTTTAAGTTTTTTGTCTTACAAGTTATTCGTGGAAGATTAATACCTTGGTCAGGTTCTCAAGGAAGTTGTTGATGGTTGGGCCTTTTTGTTGACAGTGTTCGACCTTCAATTAGCCCGTCATAGAGCCTTTAGTGATATGATTGAGGACTTCCTCCTCCATCCATCGTTTAGGGGGCAAAAGAGTTCTTATGAATGTTGGGGGTGTGCTTTATCAGGGGTATGGAAGAGAAATAATAAAATATATAGAAGGATTGAGAGGGACATTCTGTTGATGTTTGGTTGGTCCCTTGTGAATTGTAATGTTTTTTCTTGAACATCTGCGATGAATTCCCTTAGTAATTATTCGCTAGGTCTCATTTTGTTAGATTCGAGATCCTTCCTCTAGGGTGCTCCCTTGGTGGACTTTTTTTTTTTCAATTTGTATGCCCTTATATTCTTTCATTTTTTTTTTCAATGAAAGATGGTACTTTATTTAAAAAAAAAAAATAAAAAAAAAAATAAAGTACCAAGTAACTATAGAATAGACATATTTTTATCAAAATAAATAATTTAATAATTGTAAGAACAAACACGAGTGAAAGAGAGAGATTGATTTGCATACTGTGTAAACATTTTTGAAGTCAATTCCTCGTACTACTCCAAATTCAGAATCTATCTTTTGTTTGGCACGTTTTCTGGACTTTCTCTTATCAACATTACTCTCCTCGTTGGCTTCTTTTTCTTTTGTTTGACTGTCATCGGTTGCAATTAAATAGTCAAACAGCCCAGCGTTAAACTCCTGTGAAGCCAAAGAAAGAACAAAACGTGTAGTATACTAGGTAAATAACACACCAAGATTGCTTAGCGTTAATTTATCTCATGTAAACTGTACAAACACTAAGCTTTTATAAATACGCATACCTCAAGAATATGGAGGCGAGAATTTTGAGGCAACTCAGCATTTAGAACAGCAGATTTGATTCCAAACTGCATCAGGTAAGCAGCAAATCAACTAAAAACAAATTTTCTTGTCGGTCGGGGTGTATCTCAGATTATATAAGGAAATGAAGGAGAAATATAAAAAATTTCAATTAAAAAACTATGTCACAAAAGAAGCTACTGCAAAAGGAAACGGTAACAGTACACAACAATGATCTAGAAACCATCTGCAAAAGATGATAACTTGGACCAAAGTATACGTAAAAGAAAAAGGAATTGTACAAATTAAATAAAGATCAAAATACATTTGTTAAGAACAATATTTAGAAGGGCTCATTCTGAACAGAAGAAAAAAGTGAACCAGAGTCATTTTACCTTCTCCAGAAACAATTTCAACCTGAAGCCCATGTCTATGGTATTTGTGAATATGAGAACTTTTTTCTGAACCAAGTCCAACTTTAAGAGTGAAAGAATATGAAGTAACTTGTCTCGAGCATCACAAGAGATCTTGACACATTAAAAAGACACGCGCATATCAATA